TCATACCGTTCTCGAGGGTATTTTTACGTAATTGAATATAATGAACCCAACTGGAATCCGTTATTTACAAAAAAAATGAAATTTTCGCTTTACAGCTTGCATTTGCAGCTGTGTGTCAATCAATATTGCCCCCCTAAATCTAGGTCAATTTTCCATTGTTCAAACTGCTCGACATACAATTCAAGTCGTTTATGTGTGAATTAAATCCTCAATTCTTCCCACGGTTTTTTTGGCATATATTAACCTTTTTCGTTTCAATGCCTCTCAGTACATAACACTATTTTATGTTTTAACAAAACTTCCTTCCGTTTTACCGCGATAACGACAAAGAGTATCACACATATACTTACGTACGAGAGAATGAAGAACTTGATGAATTACTGGAATACATAGATTTGGAGGGGTAATTAATGAAAGTTTATGAAAATTAAATAAAAGGATTTATGAAGATTGGACACAAATGAATTTAATAAACCTGGAAATATAATGAAAACACCTTGAAACAGCGTTTAAATTGTAAAGTGTCTAACGAATATAATGAAACATCGATAATAATAATATTGATTAACAAGAGTTAAATATGGAAAAAAGAACGCTTGAAATGAAAATTGTTAAAACGCAAAGATCGATGGAAAAGGTAAGACCAAGAAATAGAAAATGTCAACAGGGATTAGAAAATAAAGATAAAAGAAATAAAATTGATTAATCGATGAAGAAAGGATAACAGATGGAGCCAAAGGTTGATTGGTGGCAAAACAAATAGCAACCAGAAAAGAACAGGAAAACGTTAGAGGGATTCGCTAGAGAGGGTTGCTGGCAAGACAGCACATTTACGGTAACCATGGAAGGAGTTCTGAGGTTCTTTTTGTTTTCCAACAGTGAATTTTCAATGGCCGATGATGACGAACACGAAATTAAGAATTTAATGACGAACACGAAATTAAGAATTTAAGAAATGTCTTTACGATAATTATATTCCCGATATATCACAAAGATATGCAAATATACTGTGAACAGCTTCTTTTAATTTATGAAAATAAAGCATCATTATTTTCAACATAAGTTCCATAATTCATGACAGGATTCTTGCAAATCTCTTGTTCACTGAGTTAACTTTGGTTAAGCACTTTGCTCGAAACCTAATAGAGACCTTGACTAAGGTATCTTTATCACAAATTCAGGCCACGAACGATTTTGAATTCAAAGCTGTTCTTTTATTAGACTGAATGCCACCACGGCTAGAGAGCCAAGTCTGCTTTGCTAAAGCAAAAAAAAAAAAAAGAAACAAAGCAAACTAAACAAATAACAAAATACTGAAATTACAAAAACACTGAAGCAATAAAACACTGCTATAAAAATCAATTTCCAATAAAGTCACAATAATACACCGCAGAAAACAATTTCTGGTCGTTAGCAAAAGAGACAGCCCAAGATGCAACCTACAAAGTGGGGACGTAAGAATCAAGCGGAAAAGAATGAGAAGACTTTACTGAGAAGAAAAGGCTAGAAAAGAGCAGGTTTCAAGAAGACAGAAGAAGGCGATAAACGTCGCATTTAAAAATTTTTGAAGATTGTAGGTGGCGGGGAAGCAAGAAATTCGAAGAGTGTTCCATGAAAAGTAAAGAAACTATTAGAATAGAAATTACGGTTACATCTAGCTAGTTGGGCAGTAAAACGATGGGACCTAACTGCCAATCGAGTACAGCGCTTATATATTCATGAGATCAAGGTACCAAAGTGGAAAGCTGATTAGAACAATTGCCGTGAAAAAAAAAAAAACCGTAACAAAGGGAAGCCACGTCAGGGAAAAGTCGAGATGCCAGAGCAGGACGGATAAAATTGCCGTGGATTTTGCCAAAAATCTCGAGATATATAAGCGGAGCACGTGACCAGATATGGCAGCAATATACAAATGATAGTTTTATAAATGTGCAAAATGGATTTTGACGTGAAAAATTGTTTGGCACAGTGAACCAACTTTCTGAGCAGCAGGCTTTGCCATTGATTCAATTTAATCACTCCACTTCATTTCAGTAGAAAACGTGAGCCTAATAAGGTGCAATAATTTACTCTCTTGGAGGTTAGCATCAGCCGTGCTGACGGAGGGCAAAACTGGTTCTCTATGATAATTAAAAGACATCATTTTAGTTAAAAATTAACACATTATTTACATTATTCGGACTATTGTCCTCATCTTTGTCGCCACATTTATTACAACATTTCGGCCGTTGTACGCTCCGGCCTTATTCAGGTGATTGGAATGTCGAACTGAACCCTTTATTTCACTCACTGGGGTAGACTGTTCTAGTTTCACGTGCCATGTTTTAATGGATGTCAGTTTTCAGTTATCTCCTGTTAATTCCCCTCTCCAAGTTCTCCACTGCCTTATCTGGGTATTGAACTCGCGCTCTTTTGGGTCCTGTCATTGGATCTAACTAACGCCTTTATCCACTGTGCCATGTGTCCTTGAGACGAGGAAGTTTTACAGAAAATGGAACCGAAAGAGACACTAGAAATTTCTAGGGCATATAATGAGGAAAGAGGGCTTGAAGAATTTGACACCCTCAAGACATAGGCGATCATAGCCCGCCACAATTTCCTGTTCTTTGTAGCTTTTAATAAATTTTACTTTTGTTATTTCTCCTAAACCTTGTTCCGCCATCCATTTACTCAAGGTCATCATTCTTCTTCTATGTGCCGTGTCTCTTAAGGACATAGGCGATCATGGCTCTCCACAATTTCCTGTTCTCTGTAGCTGTTAATATATTTTATCTTTTTGTTATTTCTCTTAAACCCTGTTTCGCCATCCATTTACTCAAAGCATTCTCCTTCTTCATTCATCAGTGTACATTCAGAACGTTGGCGATCATGGCTCTCCACAATTTCCTGTTCTCTGTAGCTCTTAATATATTTTGTCTTTTTGTTATTTCTCCTAAACCCTGCTCCGTCATCCATTTAGTCACGCTCATTCTTCTTCTATATGCCTTGTCCCTTCAGGACATAGGCGATCATGGCTCTCCACAATTTCCTGTTCTTTGTAGCGTTTCATAAATTTTGTCTTTTTGTTATTTCTCCTATACCCTGCTCCGTCATCCATTTACTCAAGCTCACTAAATAGGTTATGCGTTGTTTACCGAATGTTTCCTTTGCTTTGAATCTATCCTTTGAGTATCAGATTTTCCAGGCCCTCTTTCCTCATTATGTGCCCGGGAAACCTCAACTATCTCTTCCTGATGTCAAGTTTCCTTTTTGCTTCATTTTGTCCAAAGCTTCGTCGTTCCTTCCATGTTCACTTCAGCATCCTTCTGTAGGAGCAGATTTCTGTTGCTTCAAGTCTCTTTTTCATCTATGAGGAGGTTGTGGGAACCTCGAGGTGGTGTAATGGTTAGCAAGCTTGTCTCGCTAGAACAATTACGGCTGAGTAGTGAGTTCGATTCTCACTGGGTGTCCCCTAATTTCGGCCTTGTGCCACATCTAGGCTGTGCTTGGAAAATCACTCTATCTGGGGGTTGTCCAGCTTTCACTATCATATAGGCGGACACATATCACGTAACAGTTCAAGGCTCTTTTATTTGTTTCTAATGAAATTTTCCCTTTCTTAATACTCTGCTTAGCTTTTGGAAAGCATCTTTCGCTATCCCAATGTGTCTTCGGATTTCAGTATCGCACTTTCCGTCCTCTATTAAAACACTCTCCAGTTAAGTACATTTTTGCACTGGTTTGATTTTGGTGTCTTCAATTTATAATTTGCACTGTGCATTGTCTTTTTTTTTTTTTTTTTTACAAGGCCCGGCGTCCACTTGAGGTCGAGGGTTACAGCGTAAGAGGCATACAGGGGGGGTGACATTATTTGTCAGACACTTTATTTTTTCAAGTTTTAGGTAGCACAGGTAGTCTGTACTGTTTTAGTGTAATGGCAATTGCTGTTCATGATGACGGTCGTCTTTGAGTATAGAATCCTGAGGTTAGCAGTGAATATTTCGAAGACAGTAGGAAAGCATTGTTCAGGTTAGCAGTGGATATTTTGGTAAAAGTAGCAGAGCGTAGTTCGTCTTTCTGTTATCTCTTCGCCTGACAAGCTGGACTGGACATTCGAGTAGAGTAGATAAAAATGGCCGCCTTTATACACGACGTCTTCTGATTGGTTAACCTTCTATTGGTGAACTATCAAGTGAGTCAAGTCATTTGGGCTAACTCACTAGTAGATAAATATACACAAAAAACTGCAACACCCCCCCTTATTTTGGGTATATTATGGAATCTTCCTTCAAAATATTAGTAATGTCAATATTAATATGTAACAAATACTTTAGTATTCCGAAAAAAAAAATTTTTTAGCATTCATAAAATACATTTTATTTTTATTTATTTATTTATTTATTTTTTTAAAGAAAATTAATATCCACAAAAATTAGTCATATCACTTTGTCCACAGTTAAGTATTCAGGTTAATAAACATTAGCAATAATATTATAAGTTTGGGTTGTGATCACAACAAAAAAGTTTACATTTATACCCCGAAACTAAAGACACACATTCATGCCAAAAACTGAACTGACGTTTCTTAAGACAATAACTAATAATTATTTTGACAATAATTTTTGCAACACAAAAAACTGCAAAAAAACTGTTTCAATACTACAAATGGAAAAGCAGAATTCAAATTAGAAGTATTTTTATTTTTTTTTTACAAATTTTCACATTACACAGGCGACACCCTTTTTTTCAATGACTTCGATCAGTCTATCTTCATAATGTTCGTAAATATTGATAATAACGTCTCTTCGTGTTTCTAGCTGTCTATTTTCAGCATCTTGTATGCGCTGCAACAGTTCAGCCTCTGGTTATTTCTGGCCCGTCGTAAACAAGCTCTGCAAGCATTTCCCATATGTTTTCAATTAAATTTAAGTCCATTACAGAATAGTTATATTTGCTTCACACATCCAATTTTTGACTGATTTGGCCACATGGATGCTGCAGTTATCTTGCTGCAAAATAAAATGACTTCCCATTTCTTTTTCTATGAGTGGTAAGGCTCTCTTTTCCAAAAGTTTTCTGTACCTCAAGCTATTTTGACGTCCTTTTAACCACTCGAGCCACAAGTTTCCATTCGGAAATACCATACCCCAACTCCTCCTCCTCCCATCTGTCTCTTGTTGAGAATAACAGGTTCACCTTTTCTCGACCATGTACACCACCCGTCAGGTCCATCGAACTTAAAACGTTTTTCATCAGTAAATATCACTTTCTTGAAGTCGACATGGTTTGTTATTCAACTTTTGGCGCTTCCCAGCCTTGCCTCCTTGTGTTTTCTCGTTAGTGTAATTCTTTTCTTGATTTTAGCATACTTAAGTCCAATTTCGTGTTGCTTTTTTTTTCTACAGTTCGAACACTGACGTCAAGTTCACCCTTCTTTACTTTCTTCACTGTCACTTTTTCTCCAGATGATAACAAACTTGTAACACTCCTCTTCATTCTTCTTTCTGTTCTCTTGGAAATTGTTTTTTTCGTCCTTTCTTCTTCTTCTTCTTCCGCTCATAGTCTGTACTTAGCATGTTGACTGTTGACTTTGGTAGCTTCATCTCAGCGGAGATCTTTCGGATGCTGAGCCCGTCTTCTCTCTTCTTTTGGACCAAAATGATGACTTCTTTTGAATGCATTCTCCTTCAGGATTTTAATACGTTTTCGCAGTGAATGGTAAAGATAATGAAATGTAATGTTCAGGGTTCAATTTACCTGCAGAAATTTTGCATATTGTAGACGTTCGACGACTAAATCATTAAAAAACCCGGAATTTGTGTCATGTCCGAAAAATAGTGTCGCCTAATTGGAAGTAAAAATAAAGAAAAACATGAAACCAAAGACAAACCCATCAATCAATGTTCATACCATTAATGGTCAGTTACTGCTGTACTACCTACTCATCAACACAAAAGCTCTCGGCTGCAAAAAACACATTTAAGCGCACTTTTCAAAGTGTCCCAAAGATAGTGTCGGCCCCCTGTATTTATGTAAATATGTGGGGAAGATAATGGTTAACCCTAAATTTGAACAGATTAAATTTTAGTGATCGGGGGTGGGGGGTCACCGAGCAGTGGTTCATGGGAAGAAGCTGCTCGAGAGGAACTTATTTCTCACCAAGGGAATACCAAGTGAATAAGGGTAGTGCGTTACTATGTGGGTGACATGGTGGCTTCTAGAACTGGCGGAAACAAGGAATGCAGTTCATCCGAGCACTTTCCATGGGAGTAGCTATAGAAGATTAAGAGGCTTGCCACATCTCGTCTGTGGAAAAGGGGTTGTAGGGTGGAAAATAATTCATCACCCACAAGGACGCGGGAACGCTTTTGGACTCTATCTAGACTATAAAGTTTAGACTGGGCAGCTCAAATACGACATAGCTAATTCATTTAAAGTCTGATCTGGTTTTTGTGAAGGTAGAGGATAGCACGAGGAGTCTGGTACTTACTGGAGCGGTACAGGGAGCCGACCACTTTGCCTGCATCTTTAACGAGGGATCGTATATACGAATGGGAAGAGCTTGTTGCGGAATCTATGCTGAGTAAAGATGTATCAGAAGGTGATTTTTTGTAAAGGCCAAGAATGTGCGTGATCGGAATGCATTTATTCACAACAAATAAATCAAACAAAAATAAATAGACAATGCAACTTCAAGAAATTACTGAAAAAAACGTCATTAGAGATTTCAACAATAACATGAATTTATATTTATTAAAGACATTTTTATGTTTAACGTTCTTTTTTTTTTTATAGATACAAGTATTTAAGTAAATGCTCTGTTTATAATAAACAGTATTAAATAACATTTACCGGCCTGAATGTCCGAGAAATTTTCATAGAAATATTCAGGCCGGTAAATGTTGTTTAATACTGTTTATTATAAACAGAGCATTTACTTAAATACTTGTATCTATAAAAAAAGAACGTTAAACATAAAAATGTCTTTAATAAATAAATTGTCGGACTTTGTCCATTTCTTAATATATGAATTTATATATATATATTTGACATACACAAAGTGATAATATGTTGCTTGTTAAATGTGGCAAGTGAGATAAGGTTACAAAGATTGTCCATACAGAAATTTAGTGAGTAAAGGTTGATAGTTTAAGTTTGTTTGTGGAATTAAAGTAGTTTGATATCTGCAAGGAAAATGTCATTTGTGTAAGTTCAAGTGATAGTGTGTATGTGTGTGACAACTGTTAGTGATGATTTAAGTTATGAAGAGTTGTTTGCCTTTAATTGATAGGCTAAAGTTGATTGAATGTACAATTACTGTTTTGTAGTGATAATATCACTTTTTAGTAAATTGTAAGTTAAGTTTCTTTGCGGCAGTAGTAGTGCGATTTGTGTTGAGTTGTTGAGAGGTTGGTAGTGGTTATTGAGTCAGTGTGTTGGCACGCGAGGGGTCTGCTGGTATCTCTCGAAACTCAGTGGCTGACTGACTTGAATTATGTCGAGCGATTCTTTTTATAGATTTTCGAGTTTTCAAATAGGCTCCAGGCAGCTTACGCGCGAAAAAGGTTTGTCTCAACTTTGCTACATTTTAGTGTCCTTTTAGTTTTTAGTTTTATATATATATATATATATATATATATATATATATATATATATAAAATATAACATTAAAAGTCTTCGTTATGAATTGAGCACTCTGGTAGCGTTATATATATATATATATATATATATATATATATATATATATATATATAACATATATATATATATATATATATATATATATATAACGCTAAAAGCTCTTCGTTATGAATTGAGCACTCTGGTAGCCGGTAATGCTTATATCTAGTATTATGCGTTAAAATTCCCTTTTCGCGTACGCTGGTGGTCAAAGAGTGAGAGTCTAGCCACACTAATTAGCTGTGATACAGCGAAACAGTCCGTTTGTATGTATATATATATATATATATATATATATAAATATATATATATAAGATTAATACAAATATGAAAATTGACGCTTAGACCACTGATTTTATTTTCAGTATTTCGACTCTATATCGTAAACGGACCCTCTAGCAATCGCTCCCTCCACTCGTCAGGAGTTACTGGCAACTGACTGCTTATTTAATCGTTTTTCCTCACTTTAATATTGATTTTCTTCTTCTTTTTTCATTGCGGGTGCGCATACATGTAGAATACGTGTAGAATGTCGTGGTTATTTTTTTTTCTTTATTATCGTTTTCTTATTGTTTTTTTTTTATACTTTCTCTTTATTGGTTTTAGACCTTTTTCTCTCCTTCAACTCTCAGTATCACAGACAAATGTAGAAATCCAGCATCCCGTTTGGCAGACAATCTCTGCTCTTAGACCCTTCATGTTTATGGAAAATATAGGTGTATATCTTTTGTTTTTCGTTAAATAATTGTTTAATTTTTAATACATGGTTTTAAGGTACTGTATATTGAATATGACCTAAAACTACAAATGCTTTCACGCAGATGTTCCCCAACGCTCTATCCTTGGCCCTACTCTGTTTCTTATACAGTGTAACCCGGATATAAGAGAGTTATCGGGACCGGAGAAGTCTCTTATATCCGGGTTTCTCTTATATCCAGGTTTGGTCTATTTTGTTTAGGTAAGTATGGCTCTAATTTGGGGACCAGAGAAAATCTCTCTTATATCCGGGTTTCTCTTATATCCGGGTTACACTGTATTATGCTTTTAATATATGGTCTTAAGGTATTGTATATTGAATATGACCTAAAGCTACAAATGCTTTCACGCAGGTGTTCCCCAAGACTCTATCCTGGGCCCTACTCTGTTTCTTATATTCATTAACGATCTCCCCGATGTCATCAGTTCCCAATGGTGTCTCGACTAGGGGGCAGAATTAGGGTACTCCGAACCATTGTTACCTACTGGTGATCTCTGGCTAAGATGTAGCAACTGATTGCCCCTACCAGGGTTACGATATATATATATATATATATAGATGGGTATATTGGTATATATGTGTGAGTGTGGCTGCGTTGATATGCGTGTGTAACTCATACAGCGCGAGGGTCAAGGAAAAGGAAGGAGGACATTCTTTTTTGTTTTTCCTTCGGGCGGATGATTAACATGAATGGAAATGTGATAAATGTAAACCGAACGTGATTTTTGAGTGCGTTTTCGTATGTGTACATGTAGACGTATATGTCACAGTGAGGGAAACAAATCGTTACTTACCACTTACCGCCGCCATGTTTCTTACCAGATAGAAACTGTGGTTGCGTTGGCTTCCGTTTTTATGGAAGAGCGCATATTGCTAGTGAACCGGAAGTTATCTGGGATCGGACTATAAATTAGCAGTATGCATTCAGAAGGATGGAAAAATCGTAACTAACGGAAGGAACACAAGTCGATACCCGATCGGTATCGATTGGTTCACCGTGGAGAAAGGGTATGATTTTGAAAGACCCGAAACACCTAATGAACATCGGCTAAAAACATCACTGATGATACTGTTATGCCATAGTACCTATTCTATTGTAATGGACTCTCCCATAGATAATAAGTAGGAGTAGCAGTGGCAAGTCTGGCAGAATGGCGTCTCGCGGTCTCTGACTGCGCACGCCTCCTGTCGAACTCTCTGCGTTAGCAGAGAGGAACCCGGACGAAGCTTTGCCGAAGGGCAAGGTTTCGTCCGGGGAGGTAGACAGGGTCTGAACCCGTCTAATCGGCTTCAAAAGGCTATTTTTTTGGCCGAGCCTACGGGCTCGGAGAAACCCACAATAAAACCGGCCTTGTACCATATTCGTTTCCCGTGGGTGAAATGATAAATACCGAATGGTGTTGAGCGCATCAGTCGAGATTCGGACATTTGAAGTACCAACCATCACAACTAGATTGCTGCGCCATTGACTCTTATTTTCCAAGTTCCTAACGTTTTGTACGTCGGACCTAATTTAGGACGACTTATTAGAAATACAAGCCTCCACTGTGAAAACACTCCACAAGAGATACGCACTAAAGCATCCAATAGATGTATTTTACGAAAATATATTTACGGGGGGAAATTGCTCAGTGTCAGAAGTAAAGTGTATGTAAATATAAAACTGGACATTGAGGTCAACACCAAACAGCGGCAGTCTCTTTCATTTTTGAATATCTATCTATCTATCTATCTATCTATCTATCTATCTATCTATCTATCTATCTATCATCAGTCTGTCTGTTCATTATCTATCTATCTATCTATCTATCTATCTATCTATCTATCTATCTATCCTAGTCTGTTCTGTTCATTATCTATCTATCTATCTATCTATCTATCTATCTAGTCTGTCTATCTATCTATCCTAGTCTGTTCATTATCTATCTATCTATCTATCTATCTATCTATCTATCTATCTATCTATCTATCTATCTATCTATCTCTGTTCATCTATCTATCTATCTATCTATCTATCTCAATCTATCTATCTATCTATCCTAGTCTGATGATCTATCTATCTATCTATCTATCTATCTATCTATCTATCTATCTATCTATCTATCTATCTATCTAATCCTATCGTTCTTAGTCTGTTCATTATCTATCTATCTATCTATCTATCTATCTTAATAGATATTATAACCTACGTTCGAGTGCAACTTTAGTTTTCTTGTTCTACCAACTCATCAGGCACGGAACAACGCCAGTAGTTCGGTCCTGAAGAGTTGGTAGAAACACGAAACTAAGTTGCACTTCGAACGCAGTTATATATATATATATATATATATATATATATATATATATACATTTTAGCTCTGTCTAACAACATTAAGCGCTGTTTTATTTACACCTTATATTAAATTAATTAAATATTTATTCGTTTACCTGTGTATGCATGCTAACGCGCGTATAACAGTTCCTAATAACTAATTATTTAGTTTATATCCACATTTATACATACATACATACATACATACATATATATATATATATATATATATATATATATATATATATATATATATATATATATATTTTTAATCAGTTCACCCAAGCTAGGCGATAATGCCACTAAGACGCAAGGGAGTGAAAGAGAGTGAGAAGATTGTTGAAGGAACCGGAATCTCAATCCTCAACTCCAAAAGACTTCTACTCCTGTTCAAAAGCTTTAGGAGGAGTGTGAACTGGGCGATAGGCGAAACTATACATTAGGCATTTTGTTATATCTTCCTATATTCGTACAAGAGATTTCTTTTTTGGACATACAGTATGTAAGAACTGTCCAAATAACCCTATGCCCGTGAAGAAGTCTTTTGTCCGTATGAAGGTAGGGGTGTGATAGTTCAGGTACTGTGTCAATTCAGTCGTCGTCAATGAAACCCTCAAACAACAAACAAATATACATTAACAAAACTGCCAACCACTCCTTAACTCTAACCCTAACGTATTCAGACAAATATCCATGTCTATAAATAAAAGAATTTCAACAAAAGAAAACAAAAACTATCTGTCCTAGAATACAAAAACGAAAACAAGTCAAACAAAAACAACAGAAAAAGAAACATAATTTGGTTCATCTCCACCTACAACAATTCGACAAAAATAGGGAAAATATTCTTCCAAATAACTGACAAACAGTTCCCTAAAAACATCAAATTATCAATAAAAATACAATCAAAATTAGTTGCAGCTGCATGGGTAACATGGAGAAAGTAATAACTATGCATATTAAAAAAATACTCAACAAAATCAATAACAATAACATCCAGTAAAATAACATCATCAAATGTAATTGCAGAAGCAAAGGAAATTGCCCAATTAACAGTAAGTGTTTAACGAATAACATAATATACATAGCTATCGTAATTAATAATATTAACACAGACGAAAAACTCTACATAGTCACCACAGAAAAAGAGAAAAAAAACTTAAAAGAAAGATATGATAAAAAATGTCCTTTGAAAGAAAAATACACAAACAATACAATCCCGTCAAAACATATATGGAGCCCAAAAAAAAACAAAACATTAATCCCACCAAAATCAAATGGGAAATTATAAAATGCGCAGCCCCATATAGTATTAACACTAAAAATTTGCATAATTAGATTTAGAAATCAAAATAAACTCTAAAACTGAACTAATAGGTAAATGTATGCATATAGATACCTACTTTGCTATCTAAGCACTAATTAAAAATAAATAAATAAAAGAAATATAATGTAAAATATAAATAAATAAATGAAATAAATATAATATAAACATAACAAATAATTATTAATAAATAAATACACAAACAAATATTAAATTTATACACCTATACGCGTGTGCGTGCATATACATATAAATATATACATACACACACTAACAACTACAAGTGAACAAACCTACTCCCCTCCTAATCAATATCTCAATATATAACACCAAGAGAAAAGCAAATAAACTAATAACCATTAAAAATGAAACATAAGATTTGAGTAAATAATTAATTTAATAAATATATACTATTTAACAATCATACGAGGGTCATTCAATAAATAAGGTGAATTTTTCGGTATAAGGACTTCTAATACAGATAGAAGCTTACTGTTTTTTTTTTTTTTTTTTTTCAACGTAGTCTCCCAGCACTGTCACACACTTTCCCCATCTGTGCACAAGCTTCCGTATTCCCCCAGCGTAAAAATCTTTGGACTGATGTCTCAGCCAGTCGCTCACAACACTTTTGACTTCATCGTCACTTTTAAACTTCGTACCTCTCGTGAACGCTTTCAAGGGACCAAACAGGTGAAAGTCTGAAGGGGGCAAGGTCTGGGCTGTAAGGGGGGATGAGGGAGAAGTTCCCAGCCCAGCTCATTGATGGTCTGCACCGTTTGGGCTGCTGTGTGAGGCCTTGCGTTGTCATGATGCAAGATGACTCCTTCTGACTGATGACCCCTGCGTTTGTTCTTTATGTCTTTCTTGACCTGCCTCAGCAGTTCACAGTAGTTGGCACTGTTCATGGTGATTGGGCCTTGCATATCTCAAAAAAAACGATGAGCATCACCTTCCTCGTGGACCGCTGGGACTTGAAATTCTTCGCTGGAGAGCCTACGTGCTTCCACTCCATGGACTGTCGTTTGGACTCAGGCACTTAGTGCCAGACCCATGTCCCATCACATGTGACAACCTTCTTCAGAAACTCATCACCATTCTTCTCATAGCGGGAGAGACATTCTGGGACAACTCGACTCTCCTCAGTTTGTGTTCTGCAGTAAGCATCTTTGGCACCCATCGGCAGCTGACCTTCGAGTAGCCAAGGTCATCATGGACAATTTTGTGTTCTGTCCCAACAGATAAGCTCAAAGTCCTTGCAATGTCATCCACTGTCACCCTTCTGTCAGACTGAATGAGGTCATTGACTGATTCGATCACCTCAGGAGACCTCACTTCTGTAGGCCTCCCAGGCCTGTCTTCATCCTCAACACTGCTCCGTCCATCTTTAAGCAATTTAGCCCACTTGTAGACATTTTTTGGCTGAAACATGTGGCACCACACACAGTTGACATTCTCCTATGAATTTCAACTGGTTTGCACTCTTCAGCAACCAAAAACTTGATAACTGACCGCTGTTCAATCCTGGAGCATGCTTCTTGGTCGGCCATCTTTGTTAATCGCCAAAACTCTCAAAGTTTTTTTTAATCTGCAAAAGAAATTAAATCCACGTGAAAAAGTAGTTAAACAAAAAAAAGTAAGCTTCTATCTGTATTAGAAGCCCTTATACCGAAAAAATCACCTTATTTATTGAATGACCCTCGTAAAAAGGAAGCTTCTATCTGTATTAGAAGTCCTTATACCGAAAAAATTCACCTTATTTATTGAATGACCCTCGTAAAAAGGATCTGTATTAGGAAGTCCTTATATCTTATTTATTGAATGACCTTCGTAAAAAGTAAGCTTCTATCTGTATTAGAAGTCCTTATACCGAAAAATTCACCTTATTTATTGAATGACCCTCGTAAAAAGGAAGCTTCTATCTGTATTAGAAGTCCTTATACCGAAAAATTCACCTTATTTATTGAATGACCCTCGTAAAAAGTAAGCTTCTATCTGTATTAGAAGTCCTTATACCGAAAAATTCACCTTATTTATTGAATGACCCTCGTATATATGTGCGTGCGCGCAACGTGCGTGAGTGTGTACTATATTCACATATTCAAACAACAAATAAACATTCTATAAACGCAACCAACCATAATTAATACCCAAAAAATAAAAAAAATAACTTCACCATTTAAAGTACAGACATAAGTGTACGTGTACCTGTGTACGCGCGTTTATATGTGCATATATGTGCATGTGTGTATACCTATATACTACATGTGTGAATGTGCGTAAATACATGCATATAAGTTTGTTATGGTGCAAGTTCCTTGTACCACGGTGATGGTCCAAGGTTAGAACCAATGAAAGAATAACACAAACACAGGTATGGAATACAAAGATATATTACAACAGAAATATAATACAAAGAAGTAGAAGTATTAGTAATGACTATCAGATTTGGTTAGAGTGAACTATGTTGTCTCGACAAGTATCACTATTCCAATGTCCTTACAGTATGCTCTCAATTATCTCTCCTAGTCTTACAATATTCTTAAGAGGCGCAGTATTTATAATATCAGGAACAGTCCATTATTATTACGGGTAAGTTCCCATAACAAAGTTTAAACAATAATGAATACAAATTTAATTATAAATTATATAATTTAATATTATTCATCTCTTCAGACCTCAAAACTTCTAAAATAATTTCGATCTGAAGAGACGAATATTAAAATATTCACGAAATAAATTATAAGTAAAATGGATTTTTAAGGTTTTTCTTGATTTAATATATATATATATATATATATATATATATGTAATGCACGATCTTGCGTATCATGTAACGCCCACATTTTTACTGATTAAGAATGATTTTATCGTGTCTTTCGTGTAACATACGAGTTCCTTTTTTGAAAGACCAAATTACAATAGACTAACCTCTTTTCCTCAATCTCTTTATTCTATCTTCTAGTTAAATAAGTTAAAAAATAAGAGAATGATAGCAGTATCGTTAGTAACGCTATACTCAGTGTGTAAATGTGTACAGCCAGAAACAACTGAATGAGAAACAGCTAAGCATCTTATAAATGTAAACAAAGGCAAAGATGCATATTTGCTATGTTTGTATTTTATAATACGATGCAAAATTAGTATGATACGAAAATGTATACAGACATATATATATTTATTGGCACGTGGTTGAGTGGTTACAACATTCACTTTCTGACCATACGACCCGGGTTCAAATCTCAATTTGTCAGGAAGTTGACTTCTTCAGTTTATCGGTCTGGTAGAGGAGATTTCAGCACGTGACATGGTCTCAGTACGTGAAAAGTACCTGAAAACCATACCATGGACTGGCCCAAGCCTCGTGAGTGAAACTGGGTAGACGGAACACTTTGGCAGCCATCGTTGGTTGTGTTAGCATCAAGTCACAAGCCATTGTGACTGAGGGTTTGAGTATGTTGGCCTTGTTCACGCTGTTGGACAA